ATGGGGATGTGGGGCTGGCAAAGGACTATAAGGAGCGTGTAAAGCCCTGCTGGGCCACACGACAGGGGACCATCTATGTCACTCTACCCCTTCCAAGAATGACCATTTGAATGTCTCAGAGAAAGCAGGAAAGCTTTCTCTCAGCCCCAGAAAGAAGAAGGAGCCTGAAATCCTATGGCTGGTAAAGCCTTTGTGCGTTACACTTCTCCAATCATGTGCCCTCCAGATGTGGTGGAACTCCTACAATGCCTATCATCCTCCCCCTTTACAGATAGGTAAACTCCTGCAAGTACAACACCTGTCACCCATTCTGGCTCAGTATGATGGGCTCTGTACTACAACATTTTGGGAGAGCACAAAATAAGACAAGGCCATTTCTGTGTAATCCCAACCCTAAACACACAAATATACCATTGTTAAAAGCCACCTACCTCTGTGATTGCGAGAGTGAATACTTGGTAGAAGCACTTGCAGCTGTGAGTCTTCTTGGGTAAGTCAGTATTTTTGCAGATGCAATATTTGTCCATTCTTCCTGGCAAAACTGTCCCAGCAATGTCAGGTTGGATGGCAACCACTGGTGAACAGAAAAATGTTCACATCTTGCCACTGTGTCTCAATTAGATTGCGGTCTGGTCTTTGACTGGGCTATTCTAAGGCATTCGGGTTCTTGCTTTTAAACCACTCCAATGCTACTTTGGTTGTGTGCTTAGAGTCCTTGTCCTGCCTGAAAGTGAACCCCATCCCCAGTCCCACAGTTTTCCTCTAGAATTGCTCAGTGTTTGGCTCCATCCCTCTTGCCCTCAATCCTGACCAGTTTCCCAGTCCTTGCCAAGGGAAAGCATCTGCACAGCATCCTGCTGACACCACATGCTTCACGCATGTCCTTGTGTTCTCAGAGCAATGAGCACTCTTGGCATTGTGCCACAGACGGCCTTTTGCAGCAATGCTAAAAAGTTCACTTTTGGCCCCTTCAGTCCACAGAACCTTTTCCTACATGCTTGCTGTATCTCCCACATGCCTTTTTGCAATCTCCAGATGGGCTTTGATATGGATTTGTTTCAGCAATGCCTGCCTTCTCGCCACTCTTCCATAAGGTCCAGCTCTGTGGAGCACCTAGGTGACAGTTACCCCATGCACAGTTTCTCCCATCTCAGCTGTGGCTCTCTTCAGCCACTTCAGCATTACCATTGCCTCTTGGTTGCTTCTCTGACTAATGCCCTCCTCAGTTACTAAATGTGGCCTACAGTCTTCTCTTGGCAGTTGAGCCAAATCCTTTTTTAATAATGGATTTAATGGCCCCCTGGGGGAAGATCGTACATTGGGGTTATTTTATCCTTGAGTTACTTTAATAACTCCTTGGTCTTCATGACTCTGTTTGTTTAGATGTGCTCTCCGACAAATTTTGGGACCCTCCAGAAAAAGATGTCTTTAATGTGAGGCATGTGGCACTGGAATTGCACGCAGGTGGACTCCATTCAGCTCTTTACAGTGTATGATTTCTGGAGGCAGTGGATTGCACCAGAGCATTTGTCTAAGGTTGTCCCATGAAAGAGGGTAAATAAAAATGCACAAAAGTGCCAGTTTGCTTTTGTTTACTTAATTTTTGTGCCACAATAATAATATCTGGAATATTGTGTTGAATATCTTGTGCACATCAAATGGTAACAATGCCAATTAAATCCATTTCAATTCCAGTTTGTAACTCCAGATTGTTTGTAATATAGGAAAGTCAAAAGGGGAGGTGAGTATTTTTTGCAAGGCCTTGTGGCATCCTGCTTATTGAAGCATTATGTACCTGAACATACCTGCCAATGACTTTCAACAGCACACACCCACACCAGAACCAGAGACAGACAGAATGTTGTGGGAGCTATTATAGAGTTTGGCATAGAGAGATACACACAGCCATTGAGGCATCGCCAGCTTCTAGCACTAAAACCAGTTTTCTCTATTCTGAACAATGCGATAGAACATTTCCCCCAATTTGCTGTGCATTTTAAAAGGTCTCACTGATAACAGATTGCCTCATAGCCAAAGACCACTGGCTACAGAGATAACACTCAGATCTAAAGAATGATAGAAGGATGGGCTAGAGAAAACCCTACAAAGATAAATCAAAATGGGATCAGATTGAGGAAGGCTGCTTTAGCAAATCTGGGTACCAATAATGGTCTTGTACACAGAATGAAAGACATGGGAAGAATGGAAGCCTTGTGAGTAGCAGCACAGTTGGTGAACCAGTAGTTAGATTAAGAAAGGGGGATTCCTCTAGCAGTTCCTTGGCTAAGAGGAAACCTTAATTTCACAAAGTCAGGTGGCCTACTCAAATTAAGGAAACAAAGGCAGAGCAATGGGAATATCCCATGCAGGTGCAACTGGATACTGGGAAGCTGTGATGTCCAGTCCTGGCATGGCAGCATTCTGTGGTGCAATGGGATGAGAGAGATGAATGCTTCTCAGGCACCTAAGATGGTGACCTTTGACACAATCCCAGTTCTCATTGGTCATGCAGCCTAAGTCACACACAGTCAGTTTAGTGCCCCCAGAATCCAGTTCTGGCCATGACCATAACTGCCAGATTAGTTTAATGGCCAGGAACTACATAGGATCAGGAAGTGTCAGTCCAATAGTATCATTTGCTTCTAGGTCAGGGAAGAATATGTGGTAACAGGGAAGAGTTAGCACCTGTGGTTTAAATTAGTTTCTAAGTTATCTCATGTTGGTGAGATAACTTTTTGTTCATTCTGCTTTTTACACCCAGTTCTGTTTTTTATAGCACATACGAAGGTTGGGGAAGGAAGTGAGTGATCCCTGGTAGGGCCAATTCAATGCAATGACACCTGTTTCTCCAAGAGGGTGGTGATCTGAGGTCATTCAATTCCTTTCTGGGCATTTTGGGGAGTGCACATCTTCAGCATCCAATTACTTTCAACCAGGTCTATGACACTCTGGAATTGCCACTCCTTGTTCACTCACTTTTTACAGATGATATTGTTGCTAATTCATTGCTTTCATTGCCAGGGAGGACAGGGAAGGCATTATGGAGCTCCCTGATGAAGAAAGAGGGGTTGGTGAGGCAACTGATGACATGCTTGTTGAAGCTCTAACATTTCCTGGTTGCATCACCAATGCATTCCTTTCCTCCATTACTTTTGAACAGTTCCTGATTTCTGGTGAGGAAGAATGGAGCTGGTGGACGCAGGAACTTCATCCTTGGCTTCTGTTATCAAAGGAAGAGAGATTACTGTTCTCCCTCTGTTACCCTCCCTCTTTCCCTGTCATTTTCAAGCTGTTCAGGAAGGAAAAGACCTCTTCTCACTCATCACTGTGTGTAAGACACAGAACAATGAGCTTAAACTGCAGCACACCAGATGCAAGCTAAACACCAGGAAAAGCTTCCTCACTGTCAGACCAATATGACAGTGGACCCAGTTGTCAACAAAGGTGGTGGGCTCTGCCACCCTAGAGACATTCAAGGTGAAACTGGACAGTCATCTGAGTGGGCTGGTATGACGTGGTGTCCTGCACCCGCAAAGGGTTGGACCCGATGGCCTTCTTGGCACTTTCTGACCCCACTTGTTCTATGACTCTATGAATCTCTAAGCAAGGGTTTGAAAAAGGCAGTGATTGACACTGTTTCCCACCTCACCGCCTTGAAACAGCCAGGGGTCTAGAAAAGCAATGCTCCCCCGCTCTCTTTGGTGCATAGTTCTACAGTGATTGTACTGTCAAAATTAACTGAAGGCTTGGGCCATGTTTACAGGCACAGCAGGGTGTCCCTTTTACTCAGAGGCCCTGATCTTGTCTTGTCTGTGCTGAATTAGGGCCCTGTGTGATTGTGCATAGTCACTGGTGCAGTGAGGATGTTGAATGAGTGTGGGACCCTACATACAGGGCAGAACTGGCTCCACTTGACTTCCCACAACTTCCCACAACTTGCCATAGATGTTGTGGAATGGATAAGAAGCCCCTTCTGGGCCTCAATGACCTCCTTGACTCCACAGTTCACGTGTTTGCTGTACTGATCTGATGCTTGAAACTGGGCTGGAAGTAGCTGCACAAGGCGAGCAGAAGAAAATGCAGATTGAGAGCTCTCGCAATGGCCGCATGTGCTTGAATTAAGAGAGGGCTGGTTTTAAGCCCTTAAGAATGCTGTAGATCAGACCCGTAAAGCAGTGACTTGATATTTATTCATTTAATTCTTGTTAGGTCCTGCCCTTCATTAAACATAAAGAAATAAATCCCAAGCTGGCTAACAATTGTAATAGAATCCCATTCATTGAGCAATATTAAAACTATAAAATACAACACTATTAAGAAGGCCAGTCACAATCAGCAGAAGGAGACAAATACAGAACCGAAACTGAGCCATATTTGTCAACCACTGACAATTTCCCAGGCAAACAGGTTATAGGCTGGTGCTTGCAGGGGCACATTTCAGATAGAGTCAGGGGGCCACCACAGAGAAGGCTTTATATTAGCATAATTCTCCAGGTGTTTGGTCAATGAGACGGACTTCCCCCCACCCCATCCTCTGCGGGAGTCTGATAAAGTTCTTTAACCTAGCTTTGTACCTTCGCTGCATATTGGGTGAGACAACCACACTTGTGGATATGAAGCTTATCAAATGTTACTTCTCCCTTTGCCAGCAGGAAGGTCTGCACACTATCCATGCCTCCACCATCCTTAAACTATTTGACCGTGTTTGCAAAATACCACATGGAGAGAGCAGGCGCAGAAAAGGATCCTATGTAGCTTTCCAGGTGGTCACAGAGCAAATGGCTGTGGATGATTCAGCAAGTGAGTCAAACTTACTCTGAAGCTCACAGAAAGGATGGAGGTGGGTGGGAAACAAGATTACTAATAAATTTGACCAGGCGGAATACATCCCTCCTTCATTTAACACTTGCATTCATTTAGTACTTGACAGTACAGCTAAACTCATACTTTCTCTCTGCCTTGTAGGAAATATTCTAGAGGTGTAAGATCAGATGAATAATTTGCTCTGAGTGATGAAGGCTGGAAATCTCTGCAGTACCTGGAGGAGGGATGGAAGTCCAAGATAGGAAGCAAAGAAAATAACACAAGCTGAACTCAGGGAAGGTTCTTCACTGCCACAAAATTGGAGCACTGTAAGAGTTGGAAACTTGCTTCTAGTTTTCTAATATCTTTTATCCACAATCCAATTTAATTAAAAGGCACTCCTCTACAAAGTGAACCCTGGCCTGTGCTTTCCCATATCTGCAGAATGGGTTGTCATGGAAACCCTGCCTGGTTTAGTTAGCGGCTCACTGGCCCTGTGTTTGTATGGCCCATAAAGGGATGCAGTTCTCCGCTGCTGAGCGGCACAAAGCAACCCAGGAGCATGAAGTGTGGGTTTGTGGAGCAAATTGCTTCTAGATTTAGCTCCAGCAGCTTGTTTAATTAAATGGTCCCCATTCCAAGGCAGACAGTGCAAGGTTTGTGTTTTTGTCTATTGCCACTCAAGAGCAAATGTCATTCCTGGGGTCACTTTGCATTGTGGAGAAGGATGGTATCTGGTATGTCAGCCTTCGACACCACTGACCCACAGTACCTCTTTAAAGCATCCAAATCAAATTTCACAATATCAAGAAGCACTTCAGCATTCCTATAGCATACAGAATGTGTATTTTCTGGGGAAATAACATACAACAAGGCACACATTTGGGGATATTGCTTTCAGAAAATGTATAAATGAGGGAAGTGCATATAATGTGTATACAAATGTGCATAGCTACAATAGCCCATACAAGTTTGCTGATTGACAAACAAACAAACATTTGCAATCTTCTGTCGAAATGGGTTGGAACAAGCATGTGCTTGAATAGTTGTAAATGTTCTAGAAAGCAAAACAGACAGATTTGTCTATCCTTAATAGCTGAGCAGGGTCTGAATGAGAACAAAATCTGAACATGTAGCAGGCACCGCGCCAGTCCTCTTGCTTACGCCACTTGCAAAACAGCAGCCTCAAAAAGCTGTTTCCAATTTATGCAGTCACTGTGTTTGCCACAGTGAGGCTGTGGTGACCTGGTGCTCCTCATAGAACAGCAAGAAGGACATGTTCTTGGGACACCAAGCGATACAGTGGAGACCCTGACTGGCTGTAGTTTCCCAGGGTATGTCCCTCTTATGTCATGCTGGTTTTATGAAATGCATCCTTTGGGCAGGTCCAGGACAGTTCCCCATTGTGAAGGACAGTTTTAAGAGGGCAGTTTTTAAGCAGAAGAAATCACTCCAGTATTCAGATTTTGTGGGAAGCCATGTGGGTGCTTTCACGTGTGTGGCAGTGTGCACATAAAGCACTTCCCCTCTGGATGGTGATGCCAGTTCAAAATGTATAGCTCTGCTCAAATCTGGTAAAATGCTTCATGACACAGCCAGTTATCACACAATTTTACTGTTTGGTGCTTTAATAAGAATGCTAGTGTGACGAATTCTTCAGCACTGGTCACAAATGTGGGCAATGAGGAAAGGAGAAGTATTTTATGGTATGAAAGGGAAACATAAATTAAGCAGCATGATTACTCAGTTTAATATCTACAATCCTGAATTGTTTTAAAATGGATTCTAATTGAATGTACATTCTATGCGGTATTTTCTAAAAGGAATTTTCACCAGTGACCTAAAAAATACACTTTAAGCCATGCAGCCTTTCCTAAAAATACAATAAAATAATGCTATGATAAAAACTATGCTATAAATATTGCATGTTAATATTAAATTTGATTTAAAAAATGGTTATCACTTACTTTTAAGTAAATATGTACAACATTCCAAATTTTGTAAACAACAAAGTGCCAAAAGACATACATACTTGTAGCAGCAACAAATGCTGAAGCACACGTGGCAAAAAGACTTAATTTAAGGCATTCTGCAATTTTCTATTGTATTTGTTTTAGTATTTGGATTCTGCACACATCTGTTAGGCTGAGTCCTCTGGGTTGCTTGACTTAGGATGGTTATGCTTCTCTTCCACAGAAGGCTATCTTTTATGTGAAGTTGTCCTCTATTGGAAGGATCATCCAGTCTGATTCAAAGATCAAGAATCATCAACAGCACCTGCACAGCAGACTACTCATGCGGGTCACCTGGCTGTAGTCTTCCCCACTATGGTAAAATGGACTACCTTTCTATTTAAATTATAATCCTTCTTTCAAAATTTGCACTATATGTATGAATCAGCCAATGGAAATAGTATGCAAATTGGTGTTCTCTTTTTTGCTGAAAATTTTCCTCTTTTTGGCAATGCATAAATAATCACCCTTGCTTGGTTACAGATTTAATTCCTTTACTTAGGTTTAAACTCAGATCAGTTGGGTTTAAACTCAGACCTCTTCGCTTGTAACACACTGGAAGAGTGGTCCAAGCTGCTTTCTCACACTTTGATTAGCTCTTACCTTGCAGTAAAACTTTCCCCAATTGCTTTCTATCCAATTCCAGTTCAGTTGGGCAATAAAAATTGCATCAAGTTTTCATTAAGTTTCAAAATCAAGGTAAACAGAGAAGCAAAGGGACCACTGCTCAAAGTTAGGAAAATGGCCAGCAGTTATTCTGCCTACTTCCCAATGATCACAGACTTGCCTCTGTCATGCTCTGGAACCTGGAGAGCAGAGTGAAAAGGTAGTTGAGAGGCAGTTTAGTTTGAGTTTACTAAGAAAGGGATACAGGACATGCACCAGTGGAGAATTCATGTGGGCTTTGAGGTGTGTTTTCTCCACTGCTTTATATATTTAATATTCTGTGGAAGAATGCTTTCTCTTGAAAAGGATAAACATGTGTTAATGTTTTAAAAAATCAGGTCATCCATTCAAGATGCTTTTTCATATAATGATTATAGTATTTGCATGCCAGAAATACTTATATTTTAACAGGTTCTCACTGAAATACTAGATTTATACTAAGTTGGCCAAGCAACCAAAAGGAATATAAAAATCTTTCAAGCAAATCTTAACAATATTTATGATTGCCCCACTAAACATGTAGTCATACTTAAACATGTTAAAGGGAAACAGATTGCAAAAACAGAAATCTAAGCAAGGGGGAAGTTCTCCCTAATATTTCTTGAGCTGATGGATACCTTGCAGTTACTGTCTCATACTTCCTCATCTAACTGTAACTGTCCTCTCCCACGGTATTATTCCTACCATCTGCCACAATCAACCTACCATTAGCCCCTTGTGTCTTCTTTTTCATGGCATTCAAATTCTCATCAACAGCAGACTGGTCCATTCTTTCTTTGGTTCTTTCTCTACCATCCAATCTACCATTTGGTCTCAAGCTATCAACTGTGCTCTTTCCCCTCTAGCTACTGTCTTGACCCCAACGTTGCTCTTGTATAGCTTCTTCCCAAATCCAAGTAAGTCTAACGACACATTAATTCCATCCTGGCTGGTGTAAGAGCATTCAAAAAGTGACAGTGATGACAAAAACAGACAAACAAATAAGCACCACAGGAAAAATGCAGTAGGGAAGTGAAATAAGTCACATAAGTTATGGCAGTCAAGTAAGTTGTTATAATTGTGCTGTTATGTTTTGTTTTGTTTGTCTAATTGGTATGATTATATTACTTCTACCATTTTAAAAAATTATTTATTCTTTTACTGTGGATATTGGCCTTTTTGAGGTCCCATTTTTGGAACTGAAAACAAGTTATATTTTTGACCGTTAGGTAAATAAATAGCTAAATAAATGAACTTGAGGATCTCAATTCCACTCCTCTGAAAGCACTACTTCCCCTCCAAAATCAAAGGGGGTAAACAGCCAGTTCAGCCCTAGTATTAACTTTGGTCTGAAGAATAGAAGTCTAATTTCTTTAATTTTAAAAATGATGAGGAAGGCTTGTTGTAAAAATGTGTCCATTTGATTATAATTCTATATTCCTGATCTGAAAATACACGGATTCTTCACAAGTTTTATTTGACTAGAATAGTTGGACTATGTTGATTATACTTTTGGGTCTACAGTGGTGGGTTGTAATTTATAAAACCATCTGCTATGAAAAATACTGTTTTGTCTAGAAAACAGCTACTGTTATAATTCAACTACCATTTTCTAATACAATGATCTAAGCACAAGTATATTTAGATACTGTTGCCAGAACCAAATTATTAAGTGAAAATAATATTCCGATAGCAATCCAAACTTTTTTTTAGCTGCACTGATAACCTTGGCATGATGGTTTATCAGGAGTGCTGCTTAGATGGGATTCTTGAATTGTTAACATCTCTGAAGTAGGTCTGATAGTCCAATTGCACAGCGCTCATATCATAGGGGAATGTTTGGCTAAACAAAGGAAATTCTTAGATAATTAAATATATTTAAATGGAAATCAAAGAAAGGAAGAGAGACTGTCTCTGTCCCCGCCCTGCCCCGCCCCCAGCCCCCACCAGTCATTTTATGGTAAATTAGAACAGTGGTTTTCAACCACTGCTCCATGGACCAGCGCTGGTCTGCAGGAGATTTCCTGCTTGTTGGGGAGGGGGAGGGGACTGCATCCCGCTCACCGTGGACCAGTGTGGGCTGGCTGTGCTCCGCTACCTCTTCCTTGGTTGGCACCACGTTTGCAGGGGGTGTGCCAGGGAGGGGAAAGACAGCTTGCTGGGAGCCGTCCTGGAGCCATGCTGCACCAATTTTGGTATTTTGTTCTTTTGCTGGCATTTTTTGTCATGTGGTTTCTGGTTGTTTTGGAGAATTTTCATTTTTTATTGGCATTGTGTTTGGAAACTAATGCACAGAATACTGTATTATGTGTATGGTGCTTTTTGTTTCTGCCTCCGTTTTCCCCGAGGTGGTTTTCCTGTTTTTGCTGGTACCCTGCTGTGGAAAGGTTGAAAACCACTGGATTAGAAAAACATTGTATAGAAGAACATCGTGTAAGCAGTCCACAGCTTTGAAATCTGTACATGTAAGCAGTTTATCCAGACTCATTTATGAACAGACAAATATTGAAACTACAGGATGCAAATGTGGATGTTCTGCTTGACCTATGCTTCCCTTTGCCGTTTTATTGCATTTGTTAAGGGGAAATATAGGAAATACAGAGACAATGCTGATGTTGGTTCCTAGTCTCTGGTTCCTTATTTGTGTGATTTTTTTTTAATTTTTAAAAATTATTTTAATACCAGTAAAATAGAATGCAAATAAAAATGACAAAGAAACAGCAAGGGTTCTTAAATGAATGTTACATACAATGTCAAATATTTAAGAAAAATAACTGTAAATCAATAATTACTATCCTTTCTACTCTGTCACTCAGTGATAAGTGGAAATTGTATTATTTATTTATTTAAAGTTTTTGTATGCCATCTCTTTGCTGTATAGCCTCGGGACGGCTCACAAACATAAATAAATTCAATTAAAACCCAGAAATACCCTGGTTGCACAATTAAAACTTATAAATATTAAACATTGTTAAAATATTGTTTGAATAAAAAGGTCTTAGCCTGGCACCGAAAAACAAATAACAACGGCGCCAGGCGGACCTTTCTGGGGAGCGTATTCCACAGATGGGGCGCCACCGCAGAGAAAGCCCTCCTCCGGGTACTTTGCTTCCTGATGTCTATCATGGAAGGCTCCCGGAGGAGAGCCTCTGCTGCTGATCTCAAGGGACGGGAGGGCAAATATTACACATAACTTTTTTTTAATGGAGACAATATCAATAGAAAAATATAAGAAAAAAGGGGCAGAATTTTTGGGAAAATTGTAGGAGATTAGAAGAATCTACAATGAATTATAATTAAGTGCAAAATTGGTGTGAAAATTGGAAACAGCACTCCATCAGTAAACTAATAACAAACAAATATTTTTTGTCTTCCATTGCAAAAGATTTGGACTACCCCACAAGATATATTTTGATGACTGAGCCCTGTCCCTTTCAAGAGAAATTCTTTCAGTGCCAACAGTTTTGTTCAATATGGATCTGGTCTCTTCAAGAAAATACGGCACTACAAAATATGGCAATATTTTGCCTCCAGATTGCCAGAATATATAGAAAAACATAAGGAGGTAGGGAATACCTCACAATATCAATGCCTCTCTGAGGGATGGCCGGGTACCTGCCCCTTTAAAGGAAGCGGTAGTCCGGCCAGTCCTAAAGACGGAGGTCCTGTTAGTAGGCGGGTTGGGCTTCGGGGTGGGGGATCTTGACCTTGTCCTGAATGGGGTTGCATTCCCTCTTAAGGACAGGGTCTGCAGCTTGGGAGTGCTCCTCGACCCAGAGCTATTGTTGGAAGCTCAAGTGACAGCAGTGGCGAGGAGCGCTTTCCTTCAGCTTCAGCTGATCCATCAGCTGTGTCCCTACCTGGAGAACGACTGCCTGGAGACAGTGACACATGCATTGGTCACTTCCCGATTAGACTTCTGTAACGCGCTTTACGTGGGACTTCCCTTGAAGACGGTCCGGATACAAAATAGAGCTGCCAGACGGTACAAAATAGAGCTGCCAGGTTGCTGGGTGTTATGTTCACATGACCCCAGTTCTCCGTCAGCTCCACTGGCTCCCCATTGAAGTCTGGGCCCAATTCAAGGTGCTGGTTATCACCTACAAAGCTCTGAATGGCTTGGGACCTGGTTACCTAAAGGAGCGCTTGCGTCCATATATGCCCTCCCATCCCTTGAGATCGGTGACAGAGGCCCTTCTCCAGGAACCCTCCGTGAAGGATATTAGGAGGATGAGTACCCAGAGGAGGGCTTTCTCTGCAGTGGCGCCCACCTTATGGAACACACTCCCCATATAGGTCCGCCTGGTGCCGTCATTATTTGCTTTTTGGCGCCAGACCAAGACCTTTTTATTCAAATGTTGTTTTAATTGTTAATGTTATTTATTGATTTTAAATTGCCAGGATGTCTCCACTATTTTATGTATTCATATATTGGTGTTTATTTATGATTGGAAGCTGCCCCGAGGCTTATGCGAAGGGGGCGGCATATAAGTTATTTAAATAAATAAATAAATAAATAAATAAATAAGCAAGCAAGCAAGCAAGCAAGCAAGCAAGCAAGCTTTGGACCACTTCAAACCTTACATGCATAGATCCAGGAGAGAATCTGTTGCCTGCCACCACTGGCCCAAAACTTTACTTCAGTGCAAGACATGGGAATATATCCATGCCAA